GTGCCGTAAAGTTACGACACGGGACACACAGCTTAAAGTCTCTCCCGGAGGACTTGTTCCCTGAATTTTTCCGACCTTAAAAATTCGACGACATCCGCCGGGTATTTGAACCCGCGTATCACGAGTCATGAGGTGGGAACGTTACCTTTAGACTACGGAGGCCGCTAACATTAAGAGTAAGTTTATATTTTGAGCTGTGTTCAGTTTTGAGTATATAGTGTTTGGTATCATACTTTCAAACATCATCTAATGATCTACCATTTATCAGTTTCTCGAGAAAACCTAGGATCATCTTTACGATTTCATTATTTCAGGACTTCACAGCTCTATAATCCATGTTGCAGGACGCAATATCTGTGTCGTCATTAAATTAGAATTTAGAACCTGTCAGTATTCAGCGTGGCAACTCCACTTCAGAATGAAAAAGTTTACGAGCGTTTTATAATCACATTTCATCCATGAATTACATCACGATCACTTTAAATGTACATGATCTTATTTCATCGTGTTCATCTTTGAGTTTATAGGCGCCACAAATGCGGCTGTTGGATATCTGCTATCTAGGATCTTGAGCATTTGTCAGCAGTATTATCATCGTGTGCTAATAAACGGTCCCTACTGACACCATACAGAGATTTAGGAGCTGTATCATTGTCGCTAGATAGGATACGAATCGTGTCATTGAGACATGGTGTAATAGCTGTATATTGTCATCGCATCTTATCATTGTTGGGTCAGTATTTCGGAGGTGTATCATCGCTTGGGACCGGGCAGTGGGCGCAACCTTGGCCTGGTGCCTGCTGGTTGCCATGGGAACACAGTCTCTTATCGACCCGCGTACGGGAGCCTTTCGTTCTGAGGCGCGTTCCATGCAAATCGTTCCGTTTATTTCGTGGATTATCCCCATTTGTTCCAGAAGAATTAACACAATATCGACAGCTACAGGCTGATCAATAAACGTGACTCCGATGGGGGTAACGGCTCCTCCACAAAAATGGAGCCGATACCTTAGTATGAAATGTCTGATCGAATTTATTGCTAATGTTACTTTAGTCTGATGAGTTCTGCCTTCTGAGATATAAAGCCGTGCAGACTGCTGAAAGTAAACCGAAGTTTCGGAGGAAAATTTCGCCTCCATCTTTAGGGTCTAAGCTCTGCTTGCCACTAGGTTCGTGCTGATTGTTAGCTTGGCTTATTCTTCGATCCTGAGGTTGTAGGCGACATGTTTTTCCGAAACATCAATTGACTTTTAACAGACTACACGGCGTTATATTCCCGAAGACAGAACTCTTCATAATTACCGCTGTGACGGCCTCAGTGCCTATTTATTCAGGTCTGAATCTCTGTTATTAATCCTCAAATTAGAACCTCTGCGGTAACGGGCAATATAACTTGAAGGAGTAAAAAAAAGGTAAAGTTTTCCCTGTGCTTATCTAATTACGCACTACACCATGAAGACGTATAGGGGAATGGATCTATAGATCCACATTTTCTTGCCCTCAGCACTAGCTGAAGGTGAGTGGTCATCTTCAAGCCTCGGCCGCTTTACCCCCGGGGAAAGAGCCCCAGGTTCCCATTTGATAGGAGATTAGGTGAACCCCAGGGCCGGTCTGGACGACGAGGAGAAAATTCTTGACTCTACCGGGACTCGAACTCCGATCCCTTGGTCGTCCAGCCCGTAGCCAGTCGCTATACCGACTTTAATTTCCTGATACATACTTAAAGGAGTATTTGTTAGAATTTTCACGTTTTCTGAAATTTTCCACCTTCTAGTAGAATTAAACCACTTCTACAGATGTTACTTTTGTCTCGTCTGTTTACCGGACACTTTCTGAACACTAAACAATCGTAAAGAAGACAGACACAACAAGACCTAGAGTTTTACAAATAACAACGCTGATGAAAGACGAAGAAGTTAATAATAATAATAACTACTGTAGTGATTTAATTTGGAGCGAACGCCTCGAAGAACGCCAGTATTTCGGGTACGTGTACAACGTGCGAATAACTGCTTCGTTCCCTCCCTTTCCACGACACAACCCTCTAACGTAACAAGTGTGCTCCTGTTTCGCTACGGTTGCACGGAAACAGCAGGATCTTTCTGGGATAATTCATAGACGGGTCTGAGTTAGTGAAACAGGCGAAGAGATTCTCGCAGAACGTGAAACCTTGGCCGGGATTATCAAGCATCCACGCATCCACTTCTAGTCAGTGTTAAGTAGCACCACAGAGTCAACCGGTTGCGAGCATCGGCGCCTGAATGGACAAAACTTCTCATTTAAGACAACTCCGTAATCGTTTTTCTTCCATTATCGGAAACTCCTGTGTTCGATTCTGAGCCTTGAAACTATATTAAGGATATTTCTTCAGAAATCTTCATCGCAACTCAATTTACTAATAATCTACGTACCAGAATAATTGTTGTACCATTTTTATTGATTGTCAGAACAGAAGCCTGATCTTTTACGCTACCTAAAGCCAGCTCCATGCAGTTCATGCTCCCCTAACCAATTACCCACTCCCCAAACTTTTTTTTTCTTTCTGAGGACCAGAAGAAGATTCGCACACTCAGGAGTAGTAAGCTTCACATCCCTACTACTTTTGGGGTCCGGGAAATAGCTCTAATCTCGAAGTAGCTCATTACAGCCCCTGTTCCAATACGATCTTTAAAACTGCCTTCCCATGTGACCTAACCAATAGGTGTAAAATGGTTTAACTGCATAACACATAATCTCGTTTGACAAGTTTATAGTTTCTCAGCTTTTCAAGATATTCACTGCTTCCATCGACGTTTCATGGCCGTATTCACAAAAGCTAGGCATTTCACGCTGTCGTGAATCAGTGAAGTCCGGTCAAAGCTCTTGTTGAAAAATTCCAAGCGTACTTTTTTCTTTGGGGGCACGCGGTAGCGTAGTTGGTTGAGGCTACAAGCCGGAAGGTCGCGGGTTCAAGTCCCGATGTGGTCATTGGGTTTCTTTCAGTTCACCTAACCCTTGAAGCGGCACTATGGTCCTGGGGTCATCTTAGCCTCTAACTGAAATGAGTACCAGGAATTAATTAAATACTTTCCCTGAGGAGTAAAGCGCGGCCGGCGCGTAAGGCTGACAACCTTACCGCCATCTTTGAGCCGATTGTCTAGATAATGTGGGACCCTCAACGCCTCACAACCCTATGGGCCTTCATGGCCTGTTACAGGGATAGCTTTACTTTACTTTACTTTACTTTAATTTACATTACATTACTTTACTTTTATCTTTAGTTTTGCAACTAAAGTTGCTTAAAGTTTATGGATCTCTGGATTATATCATTTGCTCGAGTTATTCTCTAGGCTTCACCACTCCAAGGCCTGGATGTTCCCGGATGTACTCCCTCTTCTTCGCACATCATGAATCCAGTTATGATGCCCTGTTTTGGATATCGTGCGAAGTTTTTCATGTTGCAGGATATCCCGCCCCGTTGCTAAGCAATGAACTTGCGGGATCACACAAGTTAAATCCTCCTCCCACATCTAGTGGGCGTCATGAACATTGCAGATTTCGCGGAATAAATGACAGAATGAAAATTTGAATGAGGCGGATACTCAATGGAAAATTATTCTCATGTTTCAGGAAACGTAGACGCTAAAGGGGAAGCGCGAAGCGACGATGATACTGTGACGCCGGAACATGGGAAGACGCCCGCCGTGACTGAGATCTCGGTCCACACAGATTCGGAGCTTCAGCAGACAGCGCCTGCAGGTATGAGAACAGCCTCTGCCTCTTGCAATGTCGCGTGCACAGTGTGGCACAGTGCCTCCTGAGTGCGCCTCAAACAGGAAGCATTCCTGTGTAAAAAGTATTACGTTGGAGGTAGCATTGTTACATTTGGGCTCATCGCTCGGTATGACATGGGAGTTTTTGTGTAATCACTGTTGTATATATTAAAGAGTATAACTTAGTAAGAATCATCGGTGTATACTGTTTAAATTTTACATTTTGTGTCTCTCTAAAATAATTTTATAATATTTTACGTTCCTGCAAACAGGCCATGGTGGCCCATAGGGTTGTGAGGCGTTGAGGATCCCACACTATCTAGACAATCGGCTCACAGATGGCGGTAAAGTTGTCAGCCTTACGCGCCGGTCCCCCTTTACCCCCTAGGAAGATTCGTGGTACTCATTTATGTTAGAGGCTGAGTCCACCCTAGATTCATCGTGCGGCTGGAAGGATTAAGTCAATTGAAAAAAAAATCCGCCTCATCAGGACTAGAATCCGCGACCTTCTGGCCTGTAGCATAGTGCCTCGGCCAACTACGCTACCGCGTTCCCCCAGTGTTTTATAATATTAAATTTCCATAAATTCAGAAAACTTGTTCACTAGCTCAGAAACCACTAGCTTCACAAATAGGACTCTGCTGGATGGAGTAAGTGAGGAAGAAAGATGGTTAAAGTGGACCACGAGGAAAGGGGCTTAAACGTTGAAACAGAGCGTCAAATGGTAGCTTCTGTTCTCGAAGCCAAATGTCAAAATGCCTTCAGTAACTTCGGTGTCGGGTAGCACCATGACAGCGTAGTGTCTATCTCAGTTGGCTATTCCTGTCGCTGTACCAGCAGAAATAATTAACATCCGCTTTCATCTTGTACCCCTAGGGCGAGTAATACTGTATTCTGTCAGTGTCGCAGGTCCGATAAACTGGGGCGCGTGGGGGGGGGGTGTTGAGATCTCGTCATAAACACTAGTTAATGAACAGAAAAAAAAAGGAACATGTCTCACTGTGTTTCAGAGGCGGGGAGATTTCCGGCTCAGCAGCAGCGCTATATCGTGGAGACCATCACCATGACGACGGTTACGGAGCGGCGCATCGTGCGAGAGGCTGACCGGGAGCCAAGTAGGACACGATCACCTCCCCCTGATACGGACAGCAAGCTCAGCGGCATCCTGAAGGGCGGAAAGTTCTGGAAGACCGGCGAGTCTCCACAGACCTCGTTCAGTGAGGCTGATGACCAATCCGATGAGGTCGACAAGAGGTATGTGCGTTTCTACGAGAATCACGACGGCAACCGAACAAACGATCAACCCGAGCAATCGAGTCAGGAAGCAGATACCAAAGAGGAAGAGCGCGAGGCCCGGCAGGCAGCAGAGGAGACGCCAACGAACGCCAGCCAGGATCACATGTCCGAAGATGCGCGGGTGGAGGATGCATCATCGCCAGATTGCACAGAGCTCACTCTCACGTTCAAGCTCGGTCAGCACCACGTGCTAGTAGACAGCTTACAGCGACCTAACTCAGCAGTGAGACAACTGTTCCCAGTGTCATCAAACGTCCTAGTACAACATCGACCAACATCTGAGGAACAGCCCGCCTCTCAAGACGTGACAGATGGAGAGGATGGTGACAAACGAAATGAAGCAGGGCCACGTGGCGGTCAGCACCAGTTCCTCGTTACAGCAGACTCCCTGAGGATGTTTGAGGAAGCTAAGAAAGCGAAGCTGGCTCAGTTTTACGGTACTTGCGGGGGACCTCACGACCAACATGGCAGCAAACAGTCTCTCCTCGTAACGAGTGATACGGACGAAGACGGTTCGAGGTCGCAGATACGACGAACTATTGAGAGAAACACTTTACGGCGGAGCCTGCTGAGATATGAACCTGGCAACAGAAACCGTTTGCGGGGCGGCGCGTCGAAGCCTAGAGCACAGCAGAACGAAGAGGAGTCTCTCGAGGAGCGAATACGAAGGCTGACCTGCGATCTAGATGAGGAGGAAACTGAGCAGAACGAGGAAGCGAGTACGATGGTGGAAGAGATGGACGCAGAGGACAGGCAGGAGTGCGAAGATTTCACGGAAATGCCACCCAGGACGAGTCCTCAAGGGGAGGAGACACGTAAACAGATATCCACAGATTCGAACGCGAAAGTGACACAAGAAAATGTCTACCCAAGAAGCACTGCTGACAAGGCGACGTCCCCATCTTCTGCTTCCGTGACATCTTCATCATCCACAGGTTCCTCTACATACAAGAAGCTGACGGATCTCTTCGCGCGCAGGAACAACACCACCACGGATATGAGTAATCCTGTAGACTGGAGTGGACACTCAGATCACCAACATCACCACCACCATCATCACCACCATCAAGGGATACCTCTCGACCTTGGAAATGGTCTCCCAGCCCCGGCCACGAGTCCGGGCGACCAGCATAAACAAGGTCATTTTGTAGGTCCGAAGTGTGCGGTGTCTCGTACCAGCGTGACGTCGGAAGCAAGGAAACAGTTTCTGTCAACTCTAGCGCCATTAGCAGCGTGCGTCACATCTGGAGCCACACATGAGGAGCAAGAAGACGGTGAAGGTGAGAACGGTGGCGGAGACTACTACCATCAGCAGGTAGTCGTGACGTCACCACTGTCCGTTGCTGCGCCAGTGGAGAGGATGTCCATTGCAAGCAATAGTACAATGGCCGGAGAGGAGGAATACAGCCTCGACGATATAGATGAGGCCCTTGCTAAAGAGGATCAGAAGGGTGGGGCTCCACAGCCAGACGTTGTGGCTGGAACTCCAGGTGGGGGCGTGGCAGAAAGTGCCGCCCCATCAGTATCGTCTCCTGCACCTGTGGATGAGCTGGCACTATTCGTTGAGCAGGACGCGGGTCGCATCGAACGTATTAAGAAGCGCTACAGCGACACCAACAGTAACGATGACGACGAGCACGACGACTACGGCTTCAACCGACGTCCTTCGGTTCGAGGGATCAAGCCCCGATTTGGGTCTACTACAGAAATCTTACAGCAGATGCAGTCCCAGCTCCAGCCTCCTCCACTTCTGGCGTGTCCAGCTCGCAGTCATGTAACATGGCCTTATCAGGAGAATCCCGAGCAGTCGAATTCGCCCACGGGAGAAAACTGTCCAGTACCTCGGCGTCGGGTACCCTTGGGACGTGGAACGGTGATGCCGCCAGTCCAGGAGGAACTGGGGTCAATCTACGGGAACTATAGTCCCACTAGAATACTGCAGGCTGTGTCGCCCACAGACAGGAAGGACCGGCGGTATATGCACCACGTTATGTACCCATACCAGCAGCAACTAAGTCCCTCCACGCCTCCTCAACAAATCATGAGAATAGGTGGCGGGTGTGCAGACTACCACCAACTGGGAACGAGGACGCCCCCCATTCAGCATCTTCAATATCCCACAGCGTCGAACTCCCCACCCCCATCAGGGATCCCCAGGAACTACCCTGCCCCTAACGATGCCATGACGTCAGTGATCCCAACCGATGGGTCCACCCCTCCGCCAGTGCAGTACCATCACTTCCCAGGGGGGTTCCAGAGCCTCGATCGCAATTCCTCCAACCTTGTGACTTACGGGCGTCGCATGACACCCCCCTCCGGTGTCGTACAAATGAGGATATCGCCAGTCACCTCTACCACGTCTCCGGTTGGGCTACACCACCATCAGCCCCCACCGGCCCACGCTGGCGGCGGCGTTGTCAAGTTATCCACGTTCAACGATCCAAGTCTCACGGCAATTATAGAACCTCATTATAGCGTCATGCCTCAGCCGCAAGCCTCGTCTTCCTCGCGATCAAGTCCTATAACGACAACCTCAGTGATCAGAGTGGGACATGGACAGCAGCAGACCATCAGGGTGCCATACCCGAGCGGCACCCCAGTGCAAGTGCATTTGCTGACGCGCAGTGGCAATGAGAGTCCCCAGAGGGGCTCACCGCTGCTTGCCACAAGGCCGCAATATGTGGTCGCGCGCGGAACGCAGACACCGGCCCTGCCAGGGGCCATCGGTTCGTTGTACCAAGTGCCTCCCAATGCGAGGTACTACACGAATGGTGCCTACATGCGGCAGTACCTCCCAGACTCGGTTGCTCAGCTTTCCACTTCTCCTCAACAGGGCCGCGGTCCCTTGCAGTATATTCCAGACCCCAACAGCGTTCCACAAGCGTTGTCTCCTGGTTCGATGCCCGGTCCCAGGCCTTACATGGTTGACGGCCCAAAGCCACCACAGTCATCCTCTGGCGGACGGGTGTTCCCCGAAATTAATCAGCCCAACTTCAGTGCCGGAAAGGTAGCAACGTCTCCCGTACCAGCTCCCACATCTTCCGTGCCAGTCCCCTTCAACGCGGGTTCCCCGACGAGGACAGCAGCTACTAGTGGAGAGAGGGGAGTTCCAGAAGGTGCTGCAAGCTGTTCCCCTAGCTTCCCACAGGATGCAATATACCAGCAGGTACAGTCACCAGCCACGAGTGCTCCAAACAACAACAACAACAACAACAGTAGCAACATCATTCCTGAGAGCAGTGCTGCCACCACCTCGGTGTACTACGCTATGAACGTCTGACAGGAGCAGAACAGCGAGTACAGCCACGCCTGCTTCTACTGGAGCGCCTGCAGCACTGCAGAGAATTAACATCCTGCTAACGATAACTGAAGTCAATGAACGACAATTTGCCACAGCGGGGCGACGACTCACAAGGATGGCCTAAAGAGGTTCTATGTGGAGCCGTGGCTGGGCAGTGTTCAGAAGACTACATTCTGGCTCAGGTTCAATCCCAGTACATCGAAACAAACTACACATGGACAGGAAATGGACAGAACATGTAGGAGCAATAGACGCCGATAACACAGGAAGAGAGATGTCCTATCCTATGCCTGTTTCAATATACACATGAAGTATTTTACCCGTTTACAAACCAAGTTTTTTTTTATATAAAATATATCTCCACTCGTCTGTTTAATCCCGATTGAATATCCAAAGCAGTGTCAATATCCAGAAGAATAAGAAAGTTTTCAAACCGTATCTCACTGATAATAAAGCAACGCAACGGAGAAGTTCATGGAGGTAGGCCTAGACCCACTGGGGCTGTAGTGCCAAGGAAAGAAAACATGGACAAGGAAGCTTAAGCTGTGAAACTGCGCATTTCTTGTGCTGGTGTGACAATTCGTGACATTCTCTGTGTATCTTTTTTAAACAGAATGGACTAAGATGGTTACAATAGTTCACGTTGCATGGAGAAGTTGAAGCGGGAAGACTACTCAATGTTTTATAAACCAGTACGTTACATTCCATGTTGTAATTAAGTTCAACTCGTCCACAAATTGTTCCGTTGAAGATAGTTTATTTTATAAGTAATAACCCAGTGTAAAAAGTCGGAGATCTTCCTCAAATTAATATCTATTCGGTTCACATTGGTGTTGCAGACGTGGTGAAAAAAAAAATCTTCAGAAATCAAACTCATTCAGACTACAGATTTTCAAACGCTATTCTATTATAAAACTTATATCACGGGACACTTTCATTACACAAAATGTCAAAGAAGTACCTGCTATTTATTAGCAATGACCATCACAACTGTAATTACCGCAGCACGGGTACCAATATTTCCGTCACAAATTTGAAAAATTTGGATTCTTCCTCTTTCTAACATACGTGAAAACAATCAATGTACACGAAGAGATTATTGGATCGAAGATGAGCACACATCCTTGCATATAGTTTTCGATCTCATTATTAGTTTCCAACAAGATGCCAAAGATAGCGAAAGTACTGATGTGGTCTTTCTCATATTTGGAAAGATGACAATTATAAAGTAGTCTTAGCTACATATAAGAGTAGATGAATGGACTTTCAAACTGTTCTTGTCTGTAAGCATTCAACTTCATGTCTTTCAAAAGCCATCCCCACCCCCCAAAACCCCCCTCCCTCAAAATATGAAATTGTGTATATAAATTACAATGTCGTATCATATATTGCAGTAACATATATATAAAACATAAAAAATTATTTACGTAAATATATTTAAACAAAGAATGAGATTAAACATTTTTTCTATGGAAAGTTTCCAGTAAAGGACCATTTCAAAGACAATGGTCTCTCCGAACGCGATAATAAACGCAAGGGTAAAACCAAAACCGAGAATTCTCGTGTGCATTTAATAACGTAATAATTTAACTAGTTCTAGGTTTTAAACAAATTCAGTACATACAGTGCCCGGCAAAAGTTGGTTAAGCACTGCCAGATGTATATCTATTTAGGATTTCCACATGAGATGGATTCAACATTATCCGGTCAGTGTCACCAGCTTTTGTACACACCTGTATTGATACTGAGAGAATACCAAATAAGCAGGTTATTATTAATACAACAGATATTATTAGTATTATATATTATAATAATGATAAAGAAAATGTGCTTTCAATTTTTCATATATGAATATTGTGTCTGGGTGTGTACATATAATCTGTGTTACTGTTGGTAATGTTACCGATATTGTTATGTCCTTATAAATGTTAAGATTGATACTTGTTCACAGAGGTTCTCACTAAGAAAAGCAACCCATAGAAAACCAAATTATTCTATATCGATTAACTAAACCGGTCGCAGCGGCTCCAATATTTACTATAATACTGAAGAAAATTACGGACGGTTTTAAAAAATACTTACAAAGCTATTCTCATCTCAGCACATCCACTGAGCTGGTGGAAAAATGTAGTCTGCAGATGTCAAATTATTGTAATAGAACCCATTTCTATTAGAATCCATGATACAGTAGACACTGCAGTTTTGCTTTCCGTATATTAACGGGTCATTCATTCATCTCTAATCTGTCAAGACGACAGGTCCACAGTCTCTTCCAAAACAGTTCTTCCACTTGATGCGATTTAGAGCCTTCTCCTTCAAATGAAAATATCCTCTTCTGTCCCCAAGGTCATCCAGCATCTTCTTACGTCTTCCTCGTCGTCTTCTGGTCACTTCTATCCGCCCCTCTATCTTTCCTTCAATAACTTCTTTTAAAAGGCAGTTACCGCGTAAGATATGACCAATCCAATTAGCCTTCCGTTTTCTTATTTCGTGTAGGATATTCCTCTGCTCACTGACTCTAAATAACACTTCTTCATTTCCCACATAATCGGTCCAACTGATCTTCTCCATCCTTCTCCAACACCACATTTCGAAGCTTTCCAGATGTTTCTGATCTATACTAATGGGTAACATTTTAAATGTTAACGGCATGTACTGCACACCCAATTCCTTCTGACACTCTGATATTAACAAAGTGATGAGCCCTAGAGAGTTCAGTAGGCCTACATTTCAGTCCTGCATTGAAATTTACTATTCGCGAGTAAGACATTTCGTACTAGCCAGGTATGTTCATGTCTCGCTTTACATGCAGCCACATCCACACCACATCATGCGGCGTAAGATCTTGGTACTATATGCACCAGTCAAGAACCGTTCTATTTCGGTTCTGGGGTGACATGATTTTCGGATTCACGCTTTAAAGGGGACATTTCTTAAGGTGTTTTCTGCTTGAAAGTGATTTAAACGAAAACGCTGTCTTCTCTTCCCGTCCTCTTCTTCTCCTTCCATCTTCTCTTCTGCCCTTCTTTCTAATATTCTTTGCCCTTCATCTTTCTTTTTCCTCTTCGTCTTCTTTCTTGCATTATTCTCCTAATCCTCAATCTTCTTATTCAATGTTTTGACACGACGAGTTGCGTGTTCACAGTGTAGAAGGGATGGGCTTTATCGTTATACGGCGCTGCCATGTCGCGGTGTCACCATAAGCGAGTCCAAAGTTTCCAGCTCAGTAGCCGAGAAACTGCCAAATTCGCAGCGCCATCAACTGAAGAACGTGAAGCACAGTGTTGACAGTACATTCCGTTTGTGATCTGAAATGAATCCTTGATGGGGGTGATTAGGACTACTGATATTGGTGCGGCATTCCATTAAAGACTAAATATAACGTTAAATATTGGCTTAAAACATAAATATTTCAAGGAACGCCTTGAAATAAATGGCAACTAGAAACTCTGGGTGATAAATTTGAATAAAAATTAAACATTGTATTATTATTATTATTATTCAACATCTAAACTGCTCATATATCCCCCAAATATGTCACTTTATTTCAAGAAATGAAAAGAAGACTAGCCCTTATCGAGCACACTCTGGCATGTCTCAAGCTCTCGGATTTAAGAAGAACCTCTGGAGCAAGTATCAGTGGCGTATCACTCTCATTGTGTCACATAGATAACGGTGCCAAAACAAACTCTAACCAAAGTTATTAGAGTAGACGTCATAATTAGTTCATGTTTCATTTGTTCTGGGAATGGTTACGTGGTGACGTAAGTTGTCGATATGGGGTCGCGAGAAGCAATACGAGCATTCTAAACAACTGACTAAAAGGAAATCACTTATTAAAAACGTAACAGAACTCTCATACTTGGGACTGGTAGCAACGAATCATATATGCAGCAATGCCTCCAGAACCATAACACTGTATCTCCTACATTTCAGCTTCACACTGATGGGATCACAATGCTTTCTCATCTGTCTGTGGTGAGTCATGTCAAGACTTTGAAGAAAGCAGTCTTCTTGGATTTGGCACCGTGTGACGTTTCGGAGGAACGTATCGCCTCCATCTTCAGGGTAGAAGAAAATATATAAGAAATCCGCAAGCGAAGAGCAGACTGCTTTTACCGGTTCTCACGGTCTCTTCGCTTGCAGATTTCTTACATTTTTTCTTCTACCCTGAAGATGGAGGCGATACGTTCCTCCGAAACGTCGGTTAACACCACATATACACGGTGCCAAATCCCAGAAGACTGCTTTCTTCATAGTCACCGCCGTGAAAGCCTCAAATCTTACATGTCAAGACTTGACTCAAACTGACTGCCCTGAACCTACAAGCACTAGGCTGGAGCCACACGAGCGCAAAAAATTCGTCCGTTGTAATGAACGTCATGACGTCCGTTGTAGAAATAAACAAGAGAGGCGAATGTTATGCTTTCTTCTGCCTCCATTGCAGACAGAAAACTACGCACCGCATTCTGCGACTGTGTGGTGTCCTCAGCAACGTCCGTCATAAAGTACGTTCGTTGCAACGGACGTACTTCGTGCGCTCGTGTGGCCCCAGCCTAATTCGTGTCTTTTGTATCCAATGATAAGCAATTATTTCTCTCGTAAGTAAAGCCGAGTTTTGAAGTAAAAAATTGTAGGTTATTTGGTCACAAAAAATCTGAACTTTCTAAGCAAAACGCTTCTGAGCCCTTTTGACTGCATAAATGCTTTATCTCCTGTAAAAACTTGAATACAACACCTGATAGAATTTTCAAAATTCCTTATTTTAAGGAAGACAAATGCGTTTCTCATACCATTCCGTCTGGTACTTGCACCATGATTGTTTCGCCAAATTTTTATCCCTTAAAAATCGTTATATGCTGTGAGTTATATTCCTCTCTTATGGCACTTCTCTGAACAAATCGAAATTAAAAAATAAGTTACCAGCGCGATAAACAGAATAATTTTTTCATGGATTACTAGAATTACCAGCATGGTTATTCTTTTGATTACCGGTACAGGGAATTCACAAAATGTTTTAAAATATTTTGCAAACTGCCATATTTGAAAGCCTGTCTCTGTGTGCATATTTACAGGACTAGTTCATGTATTTACTTGGCTCTAGGGAATTTCTCTCAGACTGCAGCAACAATGTATATTTTAGACATTAAATGAGAGCTGAATTCTTTCGGTTGTGAACGATGTCTGAAAGACGCTGACAGCTTCTTTAAATAATTAATATAAAATATGTCTGTCTTATGGTAACTTTATATATATTTAGCTTGTATTCGAACATGGAATTTCCTAAGACTTGACAATGAATCAGACACAACCTCCTGAACATATTAAAACATCCATCACAGGTATTTAAAAATATGGCCAACTGGCGCCACTTACCGTACCGTGGACACGTTCCCAGCTTCGATGTCGGAGTTCTGTTCCTGGGGAATAAAACGGATCTACATAAAGCGGACATTTTTGACGATAGTCATCAGGTCAAAAAATGAAGAAAGCTGTCTTCTGGGATGTGGCGTCGTGTAGATCTAGTACGAACTGACGTTTCGGAGGAATGTATCGCCGCCATATTCAGGGTTACTCCGAAACGTCGGTTCACACAAGATCTACACGGCGCCACATCCCAGAATACGGCATTCTTCATAGTCATCGCCGTGAAAACCTCAGATCTTACATAGGTAAAAAATGTTCTTGACTACGTACACCGGAACAGCTGCCATGCATACCAAACTAATTCTCTTTTCTTTTTTAATTCGCTTAGTGGGGGGGGGGTGGAGTCCAACTGGGTCCACTCGGCACGGCGGCCACTGATTGGCCTATTGTAGCCTGCCCCGGGTCCTTATGACGATGGAGAATTTGGTGGAACGAAGATTGGCAGGGGAAACCGAAGTACTCGGAGAAAACCCGCCCCAGTGCCACTTTGTCCACCACAAATCCCACTTGACCAGACTCGGGATCGAATCCGGGCCGCCGCGGTGGGAAGCCAGCGACTAACCGCTTGAGCTATGGCGCGGCCTTATCGACTGGATTTGGTAGCAACATTCCCGTGGACGGTTGGCTTACGTCACCTGCCAACAAAAAGGGCAGACTCTCCACCGAGATACAAACTTCGACTGCATGAAATCTACTGGGAGCCACAGCAATATTCACAGTCGGCGGCCACAGACTTGTCCAAACTTCACCAGAGAGCTGCAGGAGCCTTCCAATTCAGTCTTTAGAAAGCAGGAATTTCCAATCGCATTTAATTAAAATTTAAGGACAGATTTAAATCTATTATTTCAAAGCTATCAAGTTTATAGAAAGCTGACAATACGAATATATCCGGAAGATACGTACGAGTATAATGGAACGGGTTATCTAATGCAGACAGGATTTGTTTTCCGGCAGAACGCTACAGACCGAAACCTTTTCAAAACAAGTAAATTAATGTACGATTTGAGGTTTTCACAACGGTAGTTATGAACAGTTTTATCTTCTGTGATATAGCGCTGTTTAATCCACTGTAAATCAACAAACGTTGTGGAGGAACATTTTGCTTCCATCTTCAGTGTCGAAGAATAAGCCAAGCAAGAAGCCAGCTTCATGCTGGTTCCTTGCCTGGCTTATTCTTCGACCCTGAAGATATTCCTCGGATAAGTCAGTTGAAGTTCAACGGACTACATGTTATATCCCAGGAGATAGAACTCTTCGAATTTTATTTTTATTAATTTCTGCATATTATGCTGTTCACAGTTCGGCATTGATCTTACGGCATATAATTAGGCTCTTTCACACCGACAGTTATTTGTACTGGAGGAAGGGTCTGAGTAGTGTCAGGAAAGCAAAGAGAGGTACTGCTCCAAATTATGGCACGAGTCATATGAAACATAAGCATAATCCAGGTACTCTATAGGAACCAGATGCAAGTACCTAGTACGTGTTTCCTTATTCAATGTTCGTAGGCTCATGTGTTTTATAACGTAACTTCTAGCTTTTCAAGTACTCCGTAAAGTTCGTGCTTTTGTATGACCTAGAAAGTATATGATTCGTTGTTCTATCACATGCTCGTTATGTATAAACATACAGAGTGTCCGGATGAAAGATATCCAAAATAAAATCATTATATCTCAGAAAGCTATTATTATACACTTTAATGGGTTACACCATTACAAAGGGAAACTATCAAAGTTTTTTCTGCGT